ATCTAAAGTGAAATATCTGATTCTATATAATGTAATAAGCAGTTATGGCTGCAGGTTAGTCTTGAAGATTTTTTGGAATCTTGTGGAGGCATCGCAAGTTCTAGTGCTAGTGGAGGTAGAACGACAGGTGGACCAACTCTTTTAACTGAATTAGAAGATGATGAAGATGGTGTTCTTGAAGAAGAAGAAGATAATGATGAAAATGATCAAGAAGTACGTCAAAAAAAAAGAATTTTCTCTAAAGAATAAATATTTTCATATACATTTTTTGCGTTCTTTATTTTATAGGAAGATGATGAAGAAAATGAAGAAGAAGGAGATGGTTGTGATGGTGATTATGAGGATGTGATGGTAAGTCGCAATCTTCTCGCAGCATTTGTGGAAGAAGAAACTCCTCAAAATAGTAAAAGACGTGCGTGGGATGATGAGTTCGTTTTAAAACGTCAATTTTCTGCTTTGATTCCTGCTTTTGATCCACGACCTGGACGAACTAATATTAATCAAGTAAATAATAATAAAAATAAAAATTAGAAGTTTAAATAATTATTATATCATTATTGTTATTAATGTTACGAAATATTTTATAGACAACAGATCTGGAAATTCCTCCTCCTGGTAGCGAAACTCAGTTAAATACACGTTCAGGTTCATTATCAATGCCAAGGCTTTGTTTAACACTAAAAGGACCAGGACTTCCTGGAGTACCAGATGTTGAACTACCACTTACAGAACCACATGCCAGTATTTTTCAACAAGTACAAGAATTGATGCAATTAACAGAATTAGGTAGTCGACAAGAAAAACTAAGAAGAATATGGGAACCAACTTATACGTAATATATTTATTTCTTAATATATAACAAAAAATTAAATTTGTACAATTACAATATTTATAATTACACGCACATTATATTTTTTTATAGCATAATATATAAAGAAGCAAAGGATGAAGAATCATCTGGAAGAGCAACACCAGTTGTAACATTATATTCTCGTAATACAGTTCAAAATTCTTCAGTGTGCAGTGTAGAAGACGTATTACAATTATTGAGACATGTTTATGTATTGAGTACTACTCGTGATGACGGTAAACATATTGATTATGAAGAATGTGAAGAATCATGTTGGGTTCATCCAGATGACTTCACTTCAAAAAAAATCACAAATAAAATAGTGCAACAAATTCAAGATCCTTTAGCATTAGCTGCTGGCGCTTTGCCAAATTGGTGTGAAGAATTGGCTAGAAGTTGTCCATTTTTATTGCCATTTGAAACTAGACGGTTGTATTTTAGTTGTACTGCCTTTGGAGCTTCGCGATCTATCGTATGGCTTCAAACTCAAAGAGATGCTATTCTTGAAAGACAAAGGGCACCAGGTTTAAGTCCACGACGTGATGATATTCATGAATTCCGCGTTGGTAGGCTTAAACACGAACGAGTTAGTGTACCTAGGGGAGAGAAATTATTAGACTGGGCAGAACAAGTAATGAAGGTAAATAGATAGTTAATCAAATTTAATATGTATACTATGATATTATTCATTTTTAAAAGAAAAAAATTTTATTTCATATTATAGGTACATGCAAGTCGAAAGAGTATATTAGAAGTAGAATTTGTAGGTGAAGAAGGAACTGGTCTTGGACCAACATTAGAATTTTTTGCATTAGTTGCTGCTGAATTACAGCGTAAAGACTTAGGTTTGTGGTTATGTGATGATGAAGAATCATCTGACACAGATCAATCTCGAATATCTGGAGATCAGATTCGACCTCCAGGATATTATGTAACACGACCAAGTGGATTATTTCCGGCTCCTTTACCACAAGATTCTATAGCTTGTGATCGTGCTGTTCGATATTTCTGGTTCTTAGGTGTATTCTTGGCAAAAGTTTTGCAAGATAATAGATTAGTAGATTTACCATTATCCCGTCCTTTCTTAAAATTAATGTGTCATGGAGACATCACAAACAATGTAAATGAAAAAATTGGTCTTAGTGGAGTAACTCAAGAAAGTATGTCTTCAAGTATGTCGAGTAGCTTTATATCAGAAGAAGGTGAGGCAGATACAGCATATTCTTCATTAGAACCACCATCTTGGTATTCTGGATTACTGGATATTGAGGATCTAGTACTTGTTGATCCAGTGAGAGGTGAATTTTTAAAAGAAATACAAACGGCAATTGCTAAACGTGATAGAACGCTTTCCGATGGTCGTAATTCTGTTGACGAAGAAATGTCATTAAATATTACTCATCCATCCGGAATGTCAGTGCCTATTGAAGATTTGACTTTGACGATGACATATTCTCCAAGTTCTAAAATCTTTGCGTATGATCAAATAGAATTAATAGATGGTGGTGCAGAAATTTCAGTTACTATGGAAAATGCAAGAGAATATGCCGAGATGACAATTAATTATTGTCTTGATCGAGGAATCTCAAGGCAACTAGAATCGTTTAAATCTGGTTTTTCAAAAGTCTTCCCAATGGAAAAACTTCATGCTTTTAGTCCTGAAGAAATAAGGGCTATGCTTTGTGGAGAACAAAATCCACAATGGACCAGAGAGGATTTACTAAACTATACTGAGCCAAAACTAGGCTATACAAGAGAAAGGTAAAAACATCTTAAATACATATATATTATAAAAATAGTACGCAATTTACTAAGAATATTATTAAGAATATTTTTCTTTTTTTTTTTTTTTTTTTTTTTTTTTTTTTTTTTTTTTTTTTTTTTTTTTTTTT